ATTTCGGAGAGGATTTTGGCATTTTAAACTATGATTTTGTTTTGATTTGGAATGAAATCCAAAAAATTTGAAATTCTCTGTAAAAGCGAATGGTGACTCTGGGGCAATCTGTCTGGAAAGCTGCCCAAGAGCCATGGAGCCTAGAAACCTAGGATCCCCGACTCTAAGGCAGTCTGCCTGGCAAACTGTCCTTTAGTTGTGAACCTTGGAAATCCTGGGAGCCCAGGCTACTGAGGGAGCTGCAGGTCTCTGGGAGCTTGGGAGCCAGGGCTCACAGAGCTTCCAGATTCTCAGATCCCCAACAATCAGCCAGTTGGACTGCTAAGGAGCTGGGCAGGCGAGCTGGCAGGAAACCAGGCAGGCTTCCAATAGAATCCTGCCTGCAATCTGTCACAACTGTCAGAGTCCAACCATCTCAGCAACATGTTTTGATTTCAACAAATCAGTAAATTCCAATGAAAGATTGTTTTGTCAAAATTTTTCCAACCAACTCTCTTTATTACACCTTTTCTGGAGATTGGGAATTGAGGCACAGAGCAATTAAGTGACCAGCTCAAAGTCTCACATGAAAAAAAAAATGCCGGTCAGCTGGGAATCGCCCTATTTCCAATTCAGTACCTTAACCAGAAGACCATCTTATCTTTCTTTTAAGAATAGGGTCCTTATGCAAACATTTATACATGAGTTACCTCATACACAAAACTAGAGTTCAACTGGACTATCCCTTTGAGTGACTTTAAGCACATTCATTAAGTGCTTGCTGGATCAGATCCTAAGCGTGATATCTGTAGACTAACACACACATTGCTGGACTAAGGAGATGATTGCGGAGTTAACATTTCAGGATACAGAGTTTGTTGAACAGTCAAACTAAAACAGGAGTGGCTGAAGCAATATCATGGAGGAGAATATGCTGAGTCTGCAGAGGAAAATGATATAGGTTGACAGATAGAAGTTGATACAAGTTATTGAACTTTATGGAAGTTTCAGAACATAAATATAATTAGGTGATTTCTGATTATAGTTATAGCCCTTCACAACAGACTTAGGCCTTGGCTACACTAGCAATTCACAGAGCTGCACTTGCTGCGCTCAGGGGTGTGAAAAAACACCCCCCGAGCACAGTGAGTGCAGCGCTGTAAAGCGCCAGTGTAATCAGCGCCTGCAGCGCTGCACGCTCGCTCGCAGCGCTGCAAGCTATTCCCCTCGGAGAGGTGGAGTACTTGCAGTGCTGCGAGAGAGCTCTTGCAGCGCTGGCATCGCAACTACACTTGCGCTTCACAGCGCTGCCGTGGCTGCGAGTGTAGCCAAGGCCTTATTTTATTTTTTAAAGAAGGTGCTCATGAGAAAACCAGCACTTTGAATACTGGGGATTCTAATTTCTCAGATTCTAACTGGAATAACAGATATGTAAAAAATATGTAGGGAAATGCACCCCACAAGGTATTTCAGGATTGCTTTCTTATGCAATTTGTTGAAAGTCTATTGGCCAGAGGACTATTCTGGATCTAATGTGAGGAAAAGAGCCAAGCAAGATAAAGCAGTTGCAGCCAGAGATTGTCTAGTATATAATGATCACAATATTGTTAGTTTATAAATTAATAAATATGTGCTAGAGTAAGCAGTACAAATAATCTAATTTTAGAAAGCTGAATTTCATAGAATACTGTAGAGATTTTGGATACTATGTGCACTTAATTCAGTGACAAAACTCACATTGACTTAATTGGGAGCTGCATCAACCAATTTTTTATTATTTGTAACTCTACAGTATATGGAAAATTTACTGAAGAAAAGTGGACAATATTGAAGATCCAATTAGAAACACTGACATGGAAATTTCTCCTCAAAAGCAATAGAGGCTAAGGTGGCTAAGTGGAGATCTAAAATAATAATATAAACATTAAGCAGGAGGTATTTTTTAAAAAAAAGTTACTAACAATCTAGTGAGGAGCCGGATATGGATAGCTATAAAAATCAAGAGAAGCAAATTAAAAGGATAAATTACTGCAAAGAGAAAATAGAATATATTCACAGCAGGCAGGATGTGGAAAAAAGGAAATTGGTCAACAAATGATTATACTGGCAAATCAGATAAGGAGGATAAAAAATAGCAGTCATTAAATTGTTATTTTACTTTGATTGTTTTTAAACATAACAAAGATTAAAAAGATGTCTAACAGCTGTCTCATCTTTTATATATATTTAGATTATATTAGACATCTCATATATATACACATATTAGACAAGCGTTAGTAAGCAAAAAACAATTGAAATAGCTGAGAAAAGAGTGGAAACTTTTTAGATGGACCAAATATCCACTACAAAATAAATACTTTCATATGTGCTTACTTTTTAATCTATTTATTTATATAGGAACTTTTAATACATTTACAAATCATTGATCTGTAAATGTCAGAAAAAAATGATGATGATTACAACAGTGAGCTTTTCTTACAATATCATCATCAGCCGCATTGATGTCATTTGAATCAGATTCTTAAAGCTAGGCATGTGTTTCAAGTACCTTAGAGAATTAGGGCTATGATCCCCACTTCTAAAGTAAATTAGAACCAAAATTAATGACCTTTTAAGACTTTTTTTTGTAGCATATCATCGAAGACCAGTCAGATTTCTGAGAACTGGAAAGTGAGAAAGAGGGTTATTAAAAAAAAAGGAGCTACAAGATTAACAGGCATGTTTGATATAAAACTTGCAGGAAGGTGTTAGAAGTAATATTGTAGGGTTTTAGGAGCTACCATTAAAAGCACATTTTGGATAGATTTTCAAAGTAGCCTAAAGGATTTACACTCCCAGATTCCAATGAATTTCCGTGGAGTTAGTGTCTCTAACTCCCTCAAGCCGCTTTGAAAATCCCAGGCTTTATTTATAGGTCAATTTCATGAGGAAGAGTTTTTTCTTAGCTAACTGGGTTAGGTTCTACCATAGTGTAGTAGAGAAGGCATCAAGATAGAGGAGACATCATTATGAACATACAAGGAGCAGTTTCTAAGACATTGTGGTGTAGATATTATTTTAGTGGAGAATGCACTGCTCTGGACTATACTGAATTGCAAATATGTAACTGAGAGCAGAAATATGGCATCCATCTCACAAATAGTCATAGGATGGCAATCAATAAATATGTACATCAGCTCTCAATTTCCAGTGTTTTTGTGTCCCACTACAGTGATGCTTGGACCAAAGATTAAGACAGTGCAAAGCACTGGGTTTGGACAGACTGTTATTGGAACTTGATCCTTGATCCTTATAGAAATCTCCTGGCTGATTATGTAGATGAACAAAATAAAGGTCCCTTGATCTAGCAAACCACTTCAGTACAACTTAAGTCAATGGGACTCTCGTGTACTTAAAGTTATGCCCATGATGAAGTGCTTGGCTGAAGAACATTTAATTAAAATTACATTAGTAGTAAAGGTTGGGCAATGAAAAAACAACAACTGGAATTCACAACTGGGCACCTGTTCCTCTACAAACAGAAAAACCACATCAGAAAAACTGGACTCGTTGTATCCAAGTTTATACTTGTAGAATCAAAAAGAGGTAAGTTGAATAGAAATGCAATGGAAGAATCTTCACTACATCCTCATCACTTAAGACACATTGATGCCAATAGTGGCAATTGTCATAAACAGACAGTTAAGGGTTAATTCCTCTTTTACCTGTAAAGGGTTAAGAAGTTCACAATACCTAGCTAACACCTGACCAGAAGGACAAATAAGGGAACAAGATACTTTCAAAGTTGGGGCGGGGGGAGGAAACAGTCCTTTTGTCTGTTCTGTGTGTGCTTTTGCCGGATGGACGAGAGAAACCATCACACTCCTACTGGGTAATGAGTAATTAGAGAAGGAATGTATTAAATTACTTTTATTTCTATTTGTGATTTCTTTTTGCAAAATAGAGGGAGAATCAAATTGGGTTTCTGTGTAACTTTAAAGTTTTGCCCAGAGGGAAATCCTCAGTGTTTTAAATCTGTTTGTCTGGGAGATTATCTTGCATTGTAATCTCAGGTATTCCTTTCACCTTTTTTTTCTTTAATTAAAATTCTTCTTTTAAAAACCTGATTGATTTTTCATTGTTTTAAGATCCAAGGGTTTTGGATCTGTATTCACCAAGAATTGGTGAAGGAATTCTCTCGAGTCTACCCAGGAAAAGGGGTGTAAAGACTTGTGGGGGGGGGGGAGAATTAGTCTCAAATCTGCCCAGGAAAGGGCGGGGTTAGGGACTGGGGAAATATTTGGAGGAAGACAGAATTCCAAGTGGTTCTCCCCTAAGATTTAAATCACTTGGTGGTGGCAGCTACTGTAACCTAAGCTGGTAAATAAGCTTAGAGGAGTCTTTCATGCAGGTCCTCACATCTGTACCCTAAACTTCAGAGTGGGGAATAAACCTTGACAGCAATGAATGCAGAATGAATGCAGAAACTACAATCAGTGAAAAACAATTGATATATGTTATGACTGTGCATGAAAAATGAAGGAAATGTGCTGTAGTGTATATGGCAGAAAAGTGAAAGAGGTACTTTGTTAAAGAGGTGGATGAGGGCAGTGAACACAAAATTACACAGTAAAACTTCACGTCTAATTAAATAGTTCAGAGTTTTCAGTCACTGTTCACACAGCCATTTTCATGGACTTATCTGTGTTGAATGGAATAAATGTGGGAACTGGAGAATGGACAGTAAAACTCAGGCTAAGCTGCGGACGAGGAATAAAAGGCAAAAACTCATCAATAAAAAAGAGAGAGAGAGAGTGCAAGAGGTATTCTTGCAGAAGAAGGATCAAAACAATTTGATGGAGATTTAAATCTGAATCAAAGTTTTGAGAAAAAAATAGGCATAAGAACCTAATACAAATTCCACAAACTATGAAGCCATAGCCATATAACTGAGTCATTGAGAGTACAACATACTACTACTTTTCTGGGCATGTATCAACTGATAACCTATCTGACTTTTTTCTTTTTGTCTTTTTAAATAGCCCTTCATCTTTAATGTACACAAAAATCTGGCTGGTGTTTCTCAGTGCTGGAAGCCAGAAAATCCATGATGCACAGTTTAGGATCTTGTAACAAGGTGAGAGTTAGGTTGTGGAATAGACATACTCTAAAGGGAAAAAAACTTCAGCACCACCAAGCCTGGATATAATGGAAAGGAGAGACTGTTTAGGCTAGGAAAGGAGCCTATGAGCAGCCATGCATTGGAGAAGGCTTAGGCTGGGATTTATATAATGTGTAGTTTGCTGGAGCCATGTAAGGACTGCACTAGCTTAAAGGGCCCAATTATGATTTTTTTCTAAAACAGTAATAAGAGGCTGCTCAGAAGACCCCATGCAAATGGAACTGTAGATGTGCATTTGGGGTAAGGAGGCATGTTCCAACTACTGATATACACACTCTCCTTGGCACAGGAATGCACATACCCTATGTATGGGTGAACCCAACCACTGATTTAGACTTTCCAATTTTCCACGGTCCAGACATGGATCAGTTAGCTACCCAACAGTTTCATATTATGCATTATGAGCCTGAAATCTAGAATTCCCTCCCTCAAGTCATATACTCCATTTGATCTTTGCATAAACCTACCATAGAGATCAGTAGACCAGAGGCAGTCACGTAGCCCCAGGAATGTTAGAGGAGCTCGACACATGGTCAAAATGTTATTTCTTAATTTAATTTATCCAAATAGCTGCTCAGGTTTTATAGCTGCATTTTACTGCTCTTAATGTTAAGTACTTTTTGATAGCCACATAATTAGGTAGCTTATGAATGATTATTGTAGCTTATGATGAGAAGGGGGGGGGTTTGTCAGTGTATATACGTATATACTCTGCAAGAGTTCTGTTGATTTCAACAGGGCGTTACTAAAGGTAAATAGATGTGGCAGATCTGCCTATCAATGAAAACTATATATTTTTCCTCCAGAATATATCTTTAAATCAACAACCACAACAACAAGCATTTAGCAATTACCCTGAAGGAAACAAATTTCTGTCTTTTCCTCTCTGAGTTCTTGCCAGTTCTCCCTTGTAGTTATGCCTATAAATATTTAGAAAGCATTTTTTACAATAAAGGTTTCGGTATTTTATAACCAATGGCAAATTACTGAATCTAATATGTTCATCCAAAAATGTTTTTGTCCACCGTAAAACATTGGTATGAAGTAGAGTGTACAAAAGCATAGATGTATTTCACAGGAAAAGGCAATTTGGGCTAAATTACCAGCAATTCTGAATGTATTTCTACTGGCATGGCAAATGATCCTAAAATTTCATCAGAGTGGTCTAATGGTTTTATACAGCTGGTAAATTATTTCCAATGTTAACAGTTGTTTCCTTGTGAAAAAGGGTATACAAGATATCCTTTAACTTAAATATAATGTAGCAAATGCTTAAACATTATTTAAAATAGTCTTTCCTTGTTTTGCTTCCATTGTAGTCAATGGAAGATGCCAGCATAGCATTAGGGAAGAAGATAACCTAAAACTATATAACCAAGTTAGCTTTTTAATGACTGATTGGGAGATGAAGTTTTTTTAATTGTATTTTTGCTGACAGGTGAATTATGGATTTTCCTTTTTTCTTATATCTTTCCCTTGGTTTCTCTTAAATCCTTTTGATAGTTAATATATAATATGCTTATTTTATTTACTATACTAGGTCAGAATATAATGAATACATATGGGGCTAGAAATGTCTTAAAATATAGTGTATAATATGTTGCATTTATTAATATTTCACTCTCTGAACTCATATGAGTATTTCCTTACATATTTAGTTAATATCTCTCCTCTGTTTCAGTGCTTCTTTTCTTTCCATTGTACAACGTTATCTTTCTTCAAGCAACCTCTGGTAACCTCAGATCATCTTAATTCTTTGCAAATTTAGGTAATAACAATATATTCTAAAACTCCCAAGGATGTGAATGAAACAATTTGATTGAAGGTTCTAACATTCAATTACTCTAAGAAATCAGTAATAAATTCTACTGCACATATGATTGGTCCTATGGAGTTCTGGGTGCATTCTTCTCAGATACAGCTTACGTATGTGTTGCATTGGTTAAACAGCCCAGCCAACGATAAGTAACTACCATACTGGACCTACCCACGGTCACATTCACTAGTATCTTGTCAAGACATGCAACATCAAACACCAACACCCTGGATAAAAATGACTTTTAAAATTGCTTTATTATTCAGGCATTAGAGACTAATATGCTGTCAATATCAATGTAAAGAGCTCAGGGGGCTGCATCTTGAGATACAAATGTCTGTGTCACTTCTGGAGGTGGAATCAGATGCATAAGTTTTTTTTCTTCCCCATTTCTGTGCTCTCCTTACCTGGTGTGTGTATATCTAAGACATTATAATGAAACATCTGGGAGCTCTGCCATCTCCGCCCTGAGGATTAACTTTACTGTGGCCCTTAAACTTCTCCTATTATGGCTTCTTCTAGAATACTCGTGCTTACATTTGACCCTTGACTAATAGAAGCTCTGCTTTTGCTCTGTGTTGATACATTGTGAGGATGGTGGCAGGGACGGATAGCTGCACCATCCCTAGATTTTGCAGTGCCCTGTGTGAAATAAGATATACAACACTTCCTGCCCTTCCACAATCTGCATTCCACAGCAAAGGGTGGTAGGGTTTGGCAGCTAGATAGGTCAGGGTCAGGTCTTGACAAAATGCTCCCTCAGCCCTTCCTCCCCTCCTTACAAAAATCACAGAGCCTTGGGCAATTCAACATTAGGTGCAGACCTAGTGTCAGCCATGTGGGTTAGAGATATTACTGGCTCTAATGAAGCATTCCTGTTAAAACTGTGTCAGTGTCTCCTTTTGGGATCCTTGCACACTTTGTTTGAATAGCTCACTCTGAATAGCCTTCATTGGGCTTGCATGAGTCAGTTAAAAATTTTGCAATATTATGAGAAATACTCAATTATGTTACTCATATATAAAATAGAAAAATATAAAGCAGATATGTTGTACATCTTTGAATGTGATTTCCACTTAAAGGGAGCATAAATTGTAAATGTATTACAATGTTGAAATGTTTCACCTTTCCTAAATCAAACCACCATCATCATGTTATGTAGTCAGATCACTCGTACATTTTGAATTTTATGGTACAGTATGTTTGAATAAAATTTGTGTAAACATATTTATAATTAATTCAATCCATACATTTAATTTCTGAAATACAGTACAAGCAAACATTGCCTCAATGCATCTTCACTGATTTATTCTGGAAACAAATATTAAATAAAAGAGCATAAATAGTACATAATCCTTGTTAGAAAATAAGATCATCCTCTTTTTTGAAGATTGGTTATTCAGGAAAATATGTAGGCAATGAATTTGCAAACACTTCAGAAATGTTTTATATAGCTGAAGATCAGAATAAATGTTTAGTATTAGCAGTTGGATTTAACAGTATGTTACTTCTGAGGAACTGTTTTTGATGGATTAAAGTTACATTGCTTCCCATCTTTCATAAACCTGAAAAAACTTGAGGAGCTTGTCCCTTCAGACTAGACAAATTGAGTCCAATGATGTGACAAATTAATAGTAATAATTAAATGATTACTTTTGTATATTCAGGTTGTTCTGTTTTCAAAGCCTTTGTTTTTGCTTGCCTCAAAGTTTGGCACTAATTCAATGGATCTCCATTATGAATTATAAATTCAATATTATATATTAGTGCAAAAATTAAGTTGTACAAATAAAATAAGAAGTTAGAAGATTCAAAAGTTGGTGTCCCTGCAGCAACATTAATTTGGTCTCATTGCACATGCTGTGTAACTTATGGTATATGCATTTATTTAAAAATAAATAGAAATATAGGAAGACAACAAGAAAAACAGGAATAAGAAGTACCGCATTATATTTTGTCTGCTAGCTCAGACCCTGACATAGGGTTGACCTGGAATCTACTTGGAGACTGGGGAAGCCACAGAGCATCTGGAGGACTCACTGTGAAGTCAACAATTTAACATTTCTCTGACACCAGATAACTTAGTGCATTCTGCTGTGAAAAGACAAAGAGTCCAGGAAATTCAATGGTTGCACATTGAAATAAACAATATTTTGGGGGAAAACTTAAGAAGCTGGGGCCAGAAGACTCCAGGTTCAAATGCAGCATTTGGACAGGCTGTACACTTTGCACAGCTGCAGTCTTAATACACTGTAATAAATATACACACTTCCCAAGTGGCACACACTTATGCAAAAACAACAAGGAGTCTGGTGGCACCTTAAAGACTAACAGATTTATTTGGGCATAAGCTTTCGTGAGTAAAAACCTCACTTCTTCGGATGCAACCGAAGAAGTGAGGTTTTTACTCACGAAAGCTTATGCCCAAATAAATCTGTTAGTCTTTAAGGTGCCACCAGACTCCTTGTTGTTTTTGTAGATACAGACTAACACGGCTACCCCCTGATACTTCACACTTATGCAGACACTCTGATACTATAGTGAAGAGCAAGACACAAGGACTGATCCTTCAGGACTTTCCATGCTTTTGGGGATGCATTCATGTAAGATAAATCTTTACATGACATGTTTGAAAATATCCTAAATGACTTCAGAGCCTATATCCCATTTCCAAAAGCACCTATGTCACTTAGGAGTCTAAGTCCAATGGGATTTGTCGGCAATGGTAGTGAAATACCCTAGACTTGTCATCGTGGGGGATTTCAACACTCATATTGACAATGGTGCAGATGCAGAAACCCAAAACCTCATCTCCTCACTTGTGTCCCTTGGGTTTTCAGAGTCATCTTTGGCCCAATACACACAGCCTGAACTTCAGCCTAGATATCAAGATAAAGGATATTACAACCCACTCACTGTCTTAGACAAACCATTACCTCATAAAGGCAGTAATCAGAGACCTTCCAATGCTCAGGCAACAAGAAAGATCCTGATCTGATCACAAAGACTCATGGACTCCAATAAGCTTGAAAGCCTGCTAAAGTACAACAGTACCCCATTCACAGGATAAGGAGTTGAGAACCTGGTGAATCATTACCATTCTACACTGGCATTGGACATTGACACATTGTCCCCCAAACTGCTCCTTCCTCCTCGTTGCTCACACAGATCTCTCCTTGGTTTTCTGACACCCTATGCTGGATGAAGAGAGAGAGTTGGAAACTCAAGCATCAATGGTGGAAAACAGAGGTTGATTCAGACAGGATGAAACATAATGGATTCCTCAAAGCCTATGCTGAAGCTGTATTACAGGCCAAGAGAACCTTCCTATCAGCCTCCACCGAGGCTGCCAAATCCCACCCAAGAAGCTATCTGGCGGGTAAATTGCTCCAGCAATCCTGAGTGCCTACCACATGAATCATCCTACTTCATTGAAAGATCATGCACATTCAGGAACTCTTCTGAACACCCTAAAAGAGTCCCAACCCAAGACTTGTGAATCTGACCCATGCCCTTCCTGGCTTGTGAAAGAGTCATGAACAACTGAGACCACTCCTGACCAAAATAGCCGATGCCTTATTCAGGGAAGGAATCTTCCCTTCCTCCTTCAAACACTGAAGAAACTCTCTCCTAGATATTTCACTCCTAGCCAGCTATTTCCCAGTGTCAAACCTGTCAATTCCTGAGCAAGCACATAGAGAAGCTACCCAAGGGCCAACTACAAGCTCATCTAACTGAAAATAACATCTCAACACAATCTGGATTCAGGACATGATAGGGGTCTGCTTTAGTGGCACTGATGGATGATTTTCTCCTGTCATTGGGTAGAGGACAGACTTGCATTTTTTACCCTCCTGGACCTTTCTGCAGCATTATACCACTGTCTCACCCGAGAGAAGTGGCAGGAGTCTAGAGTAATGAAATAAAATGGTTTGAGTCCTTCCTGAGGTGGAGGGGGGACACACAAAGAATAGTGATGGAAACTGCACCTCCACCACTAGACCCCTGCGACTGTGAGGTTCCACAAGGATTAATTTTCTCTCTGGTCCTTTTCACCATGTACATGCAACCACTAGATGAATTGGTCAGAGGACATGGACTCAAGTGCCAATAATATGCGGGTGACACACAGCACTACTTATCCTTCACCACATAAAGCCAGACCACTATCAGCCCAGTGCTTGGATGAGATCAGCTCATGGATGAAGAAAAGCTGTCTGAAGTTGAACCTGAGCAAAAGAGAGGTGATGCTGGTGGGCAGATGAAAGTATTTTGAGGAGTTTTCAGTGACAGTACAGTCTCCTTTGAGTGAAGGTTCACATCCACAGTCAGTCAATTCAGTCCGTAGTCTAGAAGTACTCTTGGATTCCTCACTGATGTTCAGTTCTCACATTGAGTAATGCTATCTACCATCTCTGGTTGGCTAGGAGAGTCTGTGCCACACTGGTGGATGAAGATCTGGCCTCAGTTATTCATGCCTTTGTCACCTCTCAGTTGGACTACAGCAACGTGTTATAGCTGGGCATAAAATCTTCAGCACTGAGGAAATTCCAACTAGTACAAAATGCTGCAGCACGTCTCCTCAGGAACAGAGGCTACTGTGAGCACATCAAGTCTGTCCTCAGCTCTCTTCACTGGCTTCCTATAGAATTTCAAATCAAGTTCAAGGTCTTGGTCCTTATCTTCAAAGCGCTCCATGGCCTGGGCCCAGGATACTTAAGACTGTTTAAGGTTGTGGGACAAAGACTGTTGTTGACAACTTCACTCTTCTGATGCAATGGAACTCTCAATAATAAGAGTAAAACTCATTTGTGTGGGAGACAGAACCTTCTCCAGGGGTGGTCCAAGACTATGGAATGAACTCCCCCTCAGGAACTAAGGACTATCACAAATCTCACTACTTTCTGCTCCAAGTGGAAGGCTCATTTATTTCAACTTGTCTTCTCTAATATAAATACACAGCAACAGATATATATAACTTACCAAAACAAAACATTCCACTCCATGTGATTCTTTCTCTGGTGAGAGGATGTGTAGTTATGGTGTTTAATGCACTCATGGAAAGCACTCGGATACTATGGTGTTGAGCATGGTATAAAAATATATATAGAATACAGGCTTAGGCTCCTAAGTCATTTAGGCACTTTTGAAACACACCCTCTGCCTTTCTGTGTAATTAATCTATCTGGAAGCATTCACTTGTATACTTAAAAAAAATTGCTGTGTGCGTGGTCAGATTCCAAACAGTCTTAATTTTACCTAATTAAAATCATTTTTACCTTGAACCAGCAGAACATTACTCCTGTAGAAGACTAATTAGGTCTAATTTCCACTTTCAAAAGTCTATTTTATTCAGATCAATGTCTCAAAAAACGTGCTTTAGAATTAATAATTATTTCCTCTTTTCTAAAAAAAAAATAAATCTATTTCACCTTCCTCCAATTCTAAGGCTACAAGAGTTTCCCTCATACTTTTGGACAGAAACCAACTGTAGAAAATTTGATCTGAAGAGGTAAATTTATGAGAAAATTATTAGCATCTGAAAAAAGAGTAATAAATGAAATCATTCTGAAAACTTACCTGTAAGCTTTTATTATGTATAAAAAAGCGATATTATGTAAAAACATGGTGATTAATGTTTTATTAATAAAGATCTTGCTCACACAAAATAATTTTCAGGCCCTTACGTCTCCATATCTAAATGCACAACTATTGGAAAAATGTATCCAATAAAAGAGTATCTTACAAGAATAGTAATCTGTTAAGGAAACACTTGAATTGCTTGTCATATTACAGTATCTTGCCCTGTCTCAGATTCTGTACTGAATATGTTTTATTTTTATATTATGCATAAATGATATAACTAAAGTTGCAAATATGAATAGAAGAGAGACATTCTTCAAATTTTTAAGTGTCAACATGTTTTGTAACCAAACTGAAAGCCCCATATTACCATTGTCACATGGGGATCAGAAACTGAGTTTGGATTCTTTCATTTTACGCTTTCATTGCTGTATGTGTATAGGTTTTCTCCCAGCAGAAGTGGCAGGACAGTTGACTTCATAAAACCACAGATCTTTAGGGGAGGGGGTGGTACCAGGGGGGAATGGGAGCAGGGGTGGAGTAAGTGTACTGTTTCTTTAAATCTGAAGTATGACAATAGCTGGAGTGGCTGGGGAAAATTCTAGGCTGAAGATGGGCAGTGAAGCAGAGCGAGAGGGAGGAGCTCTAGGACTAATACCTTTTCCTATATTCTAATACAGTTCCAGCCCCATGTTAAAAGAAAGCCACTCCACTAGCATTGTTACATGACAGGGGTTGCTACCACTTAACACTACTTCAGCTTGCATCAAGTTCTATGGCAGCCTAACAATGAAACTGGGCTGTTAGGGCCTCCCACAACAGTTGCTGTTGCCATAAACCTGAGAGGTGTGGGAGGCTTTCACCATCACCTAGTGCCCGAATACCACGCTGATTGCGGCATTACACAGCTAAGTAGATAAACAGATTACACATGGGGGACCTGTACAAGTTAATCCTGACTCAATCAGCATTAACCTATGCTGGGCCAACAATCATATAGAGAGAGTCCAATTCCTCTTGCTCCGTGGAGCTGGGGCTTTCTGGCCACCATGAATAGTTTACTTAGGTTCAGGAGGAAACAGAGAATTCACAGTAGAACCATCTTCTCCCCTTTGCATTCCTGCTCCATCATAATGCCTAGGTTTCTGCTCCCCTGCAGATTAAGCAATTCAGAATAGGGACCAAATCTTATTCTGTATTTATGAAGAA